GAGGGTCAGGGAGTTTGCATGTTCTCCCCGTGTCACCTCTGCTGTGTGAAAACAGACACAGGCCGGCGGTGCAGCAGCGAGGGACCAGATCTCACTGTTCTGATCTGATGTTGTTTCCTCGTCACAAACAAACCTGGAGTTGTGGGTTTTTTTTTTGTTTCATTCACACGTTTAACACACAAACTCTGCACATTTATCCTGAACTCTTCTCTCAAACAAGAAGAAACTCTCAGACTGCACTGTGTTTTTTTTGTTTTTTTTTACTCCACAAACCTTCACTTGAATCATTTGGATCGTTTCAGTCCAAGAATCTCCAGTTTCTACTGAACTAAAGGTAAAAGGAGCTGCTCATTTCAAACTACCTCACTGTGAAAAAAAAGAACTTGTAAGATTTACTAGAAAAAAATCCTCGTAACAATTTGTACTCGCACTTTATAGATAAATGTTACTGCTCTAACATGATGTTAACAGTCTGTTGTTCTCTCTTCTAGTGTTACTACTACAACTTGGTGATATATATATATATATATATATATATATATATATATATATATATATATACACATATATATATATATAAAAGTGAACCGCGTGATGATGTAAAACAGTTGGGGTTGGACTCCATAAGTTTTTTAAACTTCATCCTCCTCCTTTTGATCACCAGGGCCCAAATCTGTTCATGAACACATCACTATTGTTGTTATTGTTTTTGAGTTTTGTTGTACCTGCTCAAACAAATAAATAAATGAAATGAATGAATGAAACTTGACTTTACACAGAAAATGTTGATTTTACAAAATATATTTTCCTCAAAAAGTGTGGCTTAAATATGTTTTTTTCTTCTTCATTATGAATTTTTTGCTTGGTGCGACTTACACTCCGGAGTACGGATGGGCATGATTAGTCGACTAATCGATAATTGATCATTAACACTTTCGTTGATTATGTTCATTTCGAATCGACAGACCAATGTAAGCGTTTGGAGCTTTGGGGATGTAAATAATAAAGAGATAAAAATAATAAAGGCTTACGCAAACACGTGTGAATGAAACAAAACTCAATTCTCCCAGTGTGAAGTTCTGCTTCATTTTTTTCAACATGTTTTTCAACATATTTGACTTGTGTGGTGTTATCCCACTAAATAAAGTTCATTTTTGTTTTCCTCTCTGGCTTTTGTGTCTCTGTGTCTTTTCTTAACTTTTCTTTATTTTACTTGCTTTTGGTGTTAGGGGTGTGGAAAAATATCAAAATATCAATATATCGTTTTGTTTAATGTGCTGATAAAATATCGATATCGTGGGCTGCTGTTTCGATATATCACCAAGAGAATTTTTTGGTTTATTTTACTAAATTATTTTGTTTCAGCTACAGTGTTGTCGCTTGTTTAGTGGAAGGAAACTCGTTTTTGCGACACATTTGACATTTTCAAAGTTTTGAGGATTTAAATGTTTGTGTTTCATATGAACTTTGCACAAGAAGTGATCATTTTTTTTTTTTTTTTAGTATCGTATCAAAAACTCCTTAAAGATACCCAGACCTAATTGGTATTTTATGATATTTATAAATTTTTTCATGGTTTTATTGTTTTTTTCGGGGCTGGTGTGATCACATTTTTAATAATTTAAGGTTTTGTGATTTCACTTTGGAAACTGCTTTGCTCGAAAAATGTGCTTCAGAATTAAAGTGGATTTTGAAAATTTGAGAATCGTAGAAACCCGTCGAACCCTCGAATCTCAAATCTCGAAGTCTTTTATCGTTTTTTATCACAATAAAAAACTCAAAATAAAAAGTATGTGAGTATGTGAGTGTTTGACGCCTTGAGGATGGCCGCTCGTGTAACGTAAAGTCGGACAGATCTCGGCATTCCCCTGGCAGGCCCGCGCTCCTCTGACTGTTTTGAAATGTGACAGGCGAGCGGCCGGAGCGCGGAGCGGGTCCACGGCTAAGAAAGCCCGTATCACTTCCCTTCGGCCCAGCTGTGGCACAAAGGCGGCATTGAGGCGCACAGACTGGTGCCATTGTCTCACAAAGGTTAGTTTCCCCAAGTCAGACCCGCTCCTGCAGCGCGCACCGCCCAGGCATTCTGGGCAGGTTAAGTGGACTACTAGTGGTGAGTCACGGGCGAGTTACAGGCGAGTAACAAGGCGAAGTACAGGCGAAGTACAGGCAAAGTACAGGCAAAGTACAGGCAAAGTACAGGCAAAGTACAGGCGAAGTACAGGCGAAGTACAGGCGAAGTACAGGCGAGTACAGGCGAAGTACAGGCGAAGTACAGGCGAAGTACAGGCAAAGTACAGCAAGTACAGAAGTACAGGCGAAGTACAGGCGAAGTACAGGCGTACAGGCGAGTACAGGCGAGTACAGTGAAGTACAGGCGAGTTACAGGTGAAGTACAGGCGAAGTACAGGCAAAGTACAGGCGAAGTACAGGCGAAGTACAGGCGAAGTACAGGCGAGGTACAGGCGAGTACAGGCGAAGTACAGGCGAGTTACAGGTGAAGTACAGGCGAGTTACAGGCGAGTTACAGGTGAAGTACAGGCGAGTTACAGGTGAAGTACAGGCGAGTTACAGGCGAAGTACAGGCGAGTTACAGGCGAGTTACAGGTGAAGTACAGGCGAGTTACAGGCGAGTTACAGGTGAAGTACAGGCGAGTTACAGGTGAAGTACAGGCGAGTTACAGGTGAAGTACAGGCGAGTTACAGGCGAGTTACAGGTGAAGTACAGGCGAGTTACAGGTGAGTTACAGGTGAAGTACAGGCGAGTTACAGGTGAAGTACAGGCGAGTTACAGGCGAGTTACAGGTGAAGTACAGGCGAGTTACAGGTGAAGTACAGGCGAGTTACAGGTGAGTTACAGGTGAAGTACAGGCGAGTTACAGGTGAGTTACAGGTGAAGTACAGGCGAGTTACAGGTGAGTTACAGGTGAAGTACAGGCGAGTTACAGGTGAGTACAGGTGAGTTACAGGGAGTTACAGGTGAAGTACAGGTGAGTTACAGGTGAGTTACAGGGAAGTACAGGCGAGTTACAGGTGAAGTACAGGCGAGTACAGGCGAGTTACAGAGTACAGTGAGTTACAGGTGAGTTACAGGCGAGTACAGGTGAAGTTACAGGCGAGTTACAGGTGAGTTACAGGTGAGTTACAGGGAAGTACAGGCGAGTTACAGGTGAGTTACAGGTGAAGTACAGGCGAGTTACAGGTGAGTTACAGGCAAGTTACAGGGGAAGTACAGGCGAGTTACAGGTGAAGTACAGGCGAGTTACAGGCGAGCTACAGGTGAGTTACAGGCGAGCTACAGGTGATCTCCATATTACAAAGTGGACTAAGCGAGTATGAATTAGAGCCCGACCGATATGGATTTTGCTGTGGCCGATATTAAACCGATATAATGGAAGTTGGAGCTGCCGATATAATCGCAGATATATTTAGTGATGTAAAAATTCACTGTAAATGTTGAATTGTTTAAAAAACTTAGGTTTGGCTCTGGTGGATTTTAAATTGGGTTTATTTAGGAAACATTTATTGTTATTCTGCCTCTTTACATCATATTTACAGACAGTAGGTTGGTTTAATGGCATTTTTGCATCACATTCTAGACACTAGTGATGGGGATTCCAGTTCTTTTTAGAGAACCGGCTCTTTTGGCTCGGCTCACTAAAAGCTGCTGGTTCTTTTGGCTCCCAAGTGGCTCTTCAGATTGTTTTGTTGCAAGCAGGACTAAAGCACGTCTAAAGCAGGACTGAATCAGGACTGAACCAGGTCTAAACCAGGACTGAAAAAGGACTAAACCGGGACTTATTTATTTTATGCTAAACTACAGCCAAATATGCTCCTTTTTTTATCCTATGCACACGCAAATTTCTCAAAGTTTCGTTTTCACCTGCTGCTGCTGTCAAACTACCACGAGTCTGCACGCGGCGTGAAGAGAAAAAAAGTGAGAGAAAGAGAAAACACGGCTCCCAGTAAGGATCAGGCTCCCGTCGTTCCCTTCAAAGAGTCATTTCGTTTGCGACCGACCCATAACTAGTAAAGAAAGTAGCGCTATTAGCCTTTAGCCGTAAATATGTGCGCGCTGCGGTAATTAATTATAAGCGCAAATGTCATAATTCACACGTCTGTTCACAGCTCATTTCCATATCAGTGCAGGTCCAGTAGCAAATATACGGCCAATACAGTCACTTTAGAACAGACCAATAGAAAACAGTCTGTTTATGTGCGGGAGCTACAGCAGCTAACCCATAACAAATGACCAAAACTAGCTTCAAAGTCGACATATTTCCAACACTCACCGCTCACACAGGCTCCTCCCACATCACAAATCTGAACTAATAAATGTCCTTTTAATCCAGACTCAAACCGATTGTCCGAAAAAGAAAATAATCTCAGTGTTGCGCACGTCTGCGGGTGTAAACAAACACACGTGAGTGAAGTGACTCTGTGGTGTGTTCAGGGACAGTACGGACACACACACGGACAAATTACACCGTAGATAAATACTGATGCGGAGCCACATATTAGGACATTTATCTGTCTGTAAATTGGATTAAATGAACAGAATGTAGAGAGTCTAAGATTTTTAACGATGTATCACATGCCCACGTGAAATATCGGCCCATATCAGCAAGTATATCGGCCGATAGCCGATATGCCTCCAGGTGCCCATATCAGCCGATAATATCGGCCAACCGATATATCGGTCGGGCTCTAGTATGAATCAATTCAACAGTAATTGCAAAGAATCCTTTTCACAAACATCACATCATTTTTTTTTTTAGCTCTTTTCATTTTAGAAACTCCAACTGCATGTGACCTCTGACCCCACCAGACGGTCACTATAAACAAGCCGTGTCAAAAAATTCTACTAAATGACTTCACACGTGTGTAACGTGTCTGAGTGAATATTTGTGTAACTCAGTACGTCCCGTCTTACACAGCGTCACACTGAACAGTGTGTTTTGTATTTTAAAGTGTGGGTAACTCCTGAGCTGAGGGTGTGGTACCTCCTCTGGGGCAGCTCGTGTCCTCCTCGCTCCTGGAAGTATCTGATGAAGAACCTCTCTGCGTCCTCGCGCTCGCCCTCCGACACCGCGCTGCCGTTCAGCAGCAGCACCGACGGCAGCCTGCAGGGGGCGACAGAATATTCGCTCAATTGAATAAAATCTACCGGGTCCACCAAGTCTCTTAAGTTCTGTCATAACGATGTACATAAAGCTCTGGCAGAAAAATCTGTTTTTCTCAAATAAAATAAAAAATAAAATAAGATAAGATAAAATAAAATAAAAACTAACATAAAATAAAAAAAAATGTAAATGTATATATATTCTGCAGATACTAAACTTCGGAGGTTTGGTGGACCCAGTAAACAGTAAAGACAATTTTATAAAAATTTCTCATGGAATTTTAATTTGGCAAGTAAAAAATTATACTTGGTACAGATTGATTTTCAAAAAATTTTCAAAAAGTTGGGCAAATGATTCTCCCTAATGGACATTGTGTATAAGCGTGTGTGTGTGTCTGCTGTGTATGTTGAGTGTGTTATGTGTGTGTGTTGTGTATGTGTGTGTATGTGTGTGTGTGTGTTGTGTGTGTGTGTGTTGTGTGTTGTGTGTATAAGTGTGTGTGTGTGTGTGTGTGTGTGTGTGTGTGTGTGTTGTGTGTATAGTGTGTGTGTGTGTGTGTGTGTGTGTGTGTGTGTGTGTGTATAAGTGTGTGTGTGTGTGTGTGTGTGTGTGTGTGTTGTGTGTATAAGTGTGTGTGTGTGTGTGTGTGTGTGTGTGTGTATAAGTGTGTGTGTGTGTGTGTGTGTGTGTGTGTGTGTGTGTTGTGTGTATAAGTGTGTGTGTTGTGTGTGTGTGTGTGTGTGTGTGTGTGTGTGTGTGTGTGTTGTGTGTATAAGTGTGTGTGTGTGTGTGTGTGTGTGTGTATAAGTGTGTGTGTGTGTGTGTGTGTGTGTTGTGTGTATAAGTGTGTGTGTGTGTGTGTGTGTGTGTGTGTGTTGTGTGTATAAGTGTGTGTTGTCTCACTGTGCGAGCAGGAGGCTCCTTCGCTCCTCGCTGTTGTGCGGCTCCAGCAGGGGGAGACCTTTGGCCTTCAGCTCCTCCAGGTTTGGGATGAAGTTCAGACGCTCGATGTCGTCCCAGCGACTCAGACCTGCACCGAGGACAAGACGAGAGGACAGAACGTGAGGACAGAGAGGACAGAGAGGACAGAGAGGACAGAGAGGACAGAGAGGACAGAGAGGACAGAGAGGACAGAGAGGACAGAGAGAGAGAGACGTGAGGACAGAGAGGACAGAGAGGACAGGACGTGAGGACAGAGGAGGACAGAGAGGACAGGACGTGAGGACAGAGAGGACAGAGAGGACAGGACAGGACGTGAGGACAGAGAGGACAGAGAGGACAGGACGTGAGGACAGAGAGGACAGAGAGGACAGGACGTGAGGACAGAAGGACAGGACAGGACAGAGAGGACAGAGAGGACAGAGAGGACAGGACGAGAGGACAGAGAGGACAGGAGGAGACAGAGGACGTGAGGACAGAGAGGACAGAGAGGACAGAGAGGACAGAGAGGACAGAGAGGACAGAGAGGACAGAGGACAGAGAGGACAGGACAGAGAGGACAGAGAGGACAGGACGTGAGGACAGAGAGGACAGAGAGGACAGAGAGGACAGAGAGGACAGAGAGGACAGAGAGGACAGAGAGGACGAGGACAGAGAGGACAGAGAGGACAGAGAGGACAGGACGTGAGGACAGAGAGGACAGAGAGGACAGACGTGAGGACAGAGAGGACAGGACGTGACAGAGAGGACAGAGAGGACAGGACAGAGAGGACAGGACGTGAGGACAGAGAGGACAGAGAGGACAGAGACGTGAGGACAGAGAGGACAGAGAGGACAGGACAGAGAGGACAGAGAGGACAGAGAGGACAGGACAGGACGAGAGGACAGAGAGGACAGAGAGACAGAGACGTGAGGACAGAGAGGACAGAGAGGACGTGAGGACAGAGAGGACAGGAACGTGAGGACAGAGAGGACAGGACGTGAGGACAGAGAGGACAGGACGTGAGGACCTGACACTTTTTACACACAAACTGAACTGGAGCCAGAGTCCATGGAGCCTAATTCTCTGACCCCCGCCCTGACCTGAGTTGTTGAGGTTGATGATGCCCCTGACCTGAGTTGTTGAGTTTGATGCCTGCCCTGACCTGAGTTGTTGAGGTTGATGATGCCCCTGACCTGAGTTGTTGAGGTTGATGCCCCCCGCCCTGACCTGAGTTGTTGAGGTTGATGCCCGCCCTGACCTGAGTTGTTGAGGTTGATGCCCCCCGCCCTGACCTGAGTTGTTGAGGTTGATGATGCCCCTGACCTGAGTTGTTGAGTTTGATGCCCGCCCTGACCTGAGTTGTTGAGGTTGATGATGCCCCTGACCTGAGTTGTTGAGTTTGATGCCCGCCCTGACCTGAGTTGTTGAGGTTGATGATGACCCTGACCTGAGTTGTTGAGGTTGATGCCCCCGCCCTGACCTGAGTTGTTGAGGTTGATGCCCCCGCCCTGACCTGAGTTGTTGAGGTTGATGCCCCTGCCCTGACCTGAGTTGTTGAGGTTGATGCCCCCGCCCTGACCTGAGTTGTTGAGGTTGATGATGCCCCTGACCTGAGTTGTTGAGTTTGATGCCCGCCCTGACCTGAGTTGTTGAGGTTGATGCCCCCCGCCCTGACCTGAGTTGTTGAGGTTGATGATGCCCCTGACCTGAGTTGTTGAGATTGATGCCACCCGCCCTGACCTGAGTTGTTGAGGTTGATGCCCCCCGCCCTGACCTGAGTTGTTGAGGTTGATGATGCCCCTGACCTGAGTTGTTGAGATTGATGCCCCTGCCCTGACCTGAGTTTGTTGAGTTTGATGCCTGCCCTGACCTGAGTTGTTGAGTTTGATGCCTGCCCTGACCTGAGTTGTTGAGGTTGATGCCCCCTGCCCTGACCTGAGTTGTTGAGGTTGCTGCCCGCCCTGACCTGAGTTGTTGAGGTTGATGCCCGCCCTGACCTGAGTTGTTGAGGTTGATGCCACCCACCCTGACCTGAGTTGTTGAGGTTGATGATGCCCCTGACCTGAGTTGTTGAGGTTGATGCCCCCGCCCTGACCTGAGTTGTTGAGTTTGATGCCCGCCCTGACCTGAGTTGTTGAGGTTGATGCCACCCACCCTGACCTGAGTTGTTGAGGTTGATGATGCCCCTGACCTGAGTTGTTGAGGTTGATGCCCCCGCCCTGATCTGAGTTGTTGAGGTTGATGCCCTCCGCCCTGACCTGAGTTGTTGAGTTTGATCCCCGCCCTGACCTGAGTTGTTGAGGTTGATGCCACCCGCCCTGACCTGAGTTGTTGAGGTTGATGCCTGCCCTGACCTGAGTTGTTGAGGTTGATGCCCCCGCCCTGACCTGAGTTGTTGAGGTTGATGTCCGCCGCCCTGACCTGAGTTGTTGAGGTTGATGCCCGCCCTGACCTGAGTTGTTGAGGTTGCTGCCCGCCCTGACTTGAGTTGTTGAGGTTGATGCCCCCGCCCTGACCTGAGTTGTTGAGTTTGATGCCCGCCCTGACCTGAGTTGTTGAGGTTGATGCCCGCCCTGACCTGAGTTGTTGAGGTTGATGCTGCGCAGGTTGGGGAAGAGTCTGGTCAGCGCGTCCTGGTGGTCGTCGACGGAGAGCAGGCGGTTGTTGGCGAGGACGAGGGAGCTGAGGCCCGGGTACATGAGGCCGAGGTGGCGGACGTGCGCCCACAGCTGCAGGCGGTTCTCTGTGATCTGCAGGAGGCGCAGGGACGGGCACTGCCAGGACGCCCGCTCCACCGCGCTGAAGCCGTTCAGGCACAGGAAGAGCTCCTCCAGCCTGCGACGCAAACGCACAAACACGTAAACGCACAAACGCATAAACACATCAACGCACAGACGCACAAACACACAAACACGTAAACGCACAAACACAAAAACACACAAACGCAAAAACGCACAAACACATAAACACAAAAACGCACAAACACATAAACACAAAAACGCACAAACACATAAACACAAAACGCACAAACACATAAACACGTAAACGCACAAACACAAAAACACACAAACGCATAAACGCAAAAACGCATAAACACACAAATACGCAAACGCACAAACAAATAAACGCACAAACACACAAACACATAAACGCACAAACACATAGACACACAAACACACATACACACATACACATCATCAGCGTTGTGCTTTGTGGGGACGTCGCGTCGGGGGTGTTCTGCATGTGTGTCTATCACAGCAGCTCTAAACGCTGATCAAAGACAATATTTTGCCGACCGGACGGGGCTGGGGAGGAGCACGGTACTGATAAGGATATATCCTGGTTCAGACCTGGTTTAGACCTGGTTTAGTCCTGATTTAGTCCTGATTTAGACCTGGTATAGTCCTGGCATAGTCCTGGTTTAGTCCTAGTTTAGTCTTGGTTTAAACCTGGTTTAGACCTGGTTTAGACCTGGTTCAGACCTGGTTCAGACCTGGTTCAGACCTGGTTTAGTCCTGATTTAGACCTGGCATAGTCCTGGCATAGTCCTGGTTTAGACCTGGTTTATACCTGGTTTATTCCTGGTTTATTCCTGGTTTAGACCTAGTTTAGACCTGGTTTAGACCTGGTTTAGACCTGGTTTAGTCCTGGCATAGTCCTGGTTTAGTCCTAGTTTAGTCTTGGTTTAAACCTGGTTTAGACCTGGTTTAGACCTGGTTCAGACCTGGTTTAGTCCTGGTTTATTCCTGGTTTAGTCCTGGTTTACACCTAGTTTAGACCTGGTTTAGACCTGGTTTAGACCTGGTTTAGTCCTGGCATAGTCCTGGTTTAGTCCTAGTTTAGTCTTGGTTTAAACCTGGTTTAGACCTGGTTTAGACCTGGTTCAGACCTGGTTTAGTCCTGGTTTATTCCTGGTTTAGTCCTGGTTTAGACCTAGTTTAGACCTGGTTTAGACCTGGTTTAGTCCTGGCATAGTCCTGGTTTAGTCCTAGTTTAGTCTTGGTTTAAACCTGGTTTAGACCTGGTTCAGACCTGGTTCAGACCTGGTTTAGTCCTGATTTAGACCTGGTATAGTCCTGGCATAGTCCTGGTTTAGACCTGGTTATTCTTGGTCTAGTCCTGGTTTAGTCCTAGTTTAGTCTTGGTTTAAACCTGGTTTAGACCTGGTTTATTCCTGGTTTAGACCTGGTTTAGACCTGGTTTAGACCTGGTTTAGACCTGGTTTTTCAGCTCTGGACCCACTGATCTCGACTGAACTAAAGGTAAAAGGAGCTGTTCACGTGGAAAACCACCACTTCATGACATCACACAGTGCGTTTGTTTTGGAGACGTCGACAGAGTAAAAATAAAGAGTCACTCAAACATGTGAGTGAAACAAACAGGACTCCAGCTCCCCCTAGTGGACTGTTTAAGTCTCGTCTTCAGCCCCACTCTGCTCCTCTGTGTCTTATTTATTTCACTTTAATTTACTCCTTTTTTATGATTTTTATGTTTAAGCTTTTATTTGCTTTTTACCGGTTTTATTAGATTTTAAAACTTATCTCAGGTTCTTCGTCTTGTTTTCAGATTTATCATCGACTTCGACTGGTTCTGAGACGCTTCGTCTCGTTTATTTTAGGAGAACTCGTCAAATAAAATGATCTCGCTGCATGGACACATCATTTCACTATTTTTATGTCATTTTCTGACAGATTTAAATGTTTATAAATTAAATTTTCTGATAGATTTAAGTGTTTATATCTTAATTTTTCTGATAGATTTAAATGTTTATATTTTTTATTTTCTGATAGATTTAAATGTTTATATTTTAAAATTTCTGATAGATTTAAATGGTTTTATTTAAAATTTTCTGACAGATTTAAGTGTTTATATCTTAATTTTTCTGATAGATTTAAATGTTTATATCTTAAATTTTCTGACAGATTTAAATGTTTAGATCTTAAATTTTCTGACAGATTTAAATGTTTAGATTTTAAATTTTCTGATAGATTTAAATGTTTATATTTTAAATTTTCTGATAGATTTAAATGTTTATATTTAAAATTTTCTGATAGATTTAAGTTTTTATATCTTAAATTTTCTGATAGATTTAAATGTTTATATTTTAAATTTTCTGATAGATTTAAATGTTTATATTTTAAATTTTCTGATAGATTTAAATGTTTATATTTAAAATTTTCTGATAGATTTAAATGTTTATATTTTAAATTTTCTGATAGATTTAAGTTTTTATATCTTAAATTTTCTGATAGATTTAAATGTTTATATCATCATAAACTGGTTTTAAGTCTGTTTATCCAGAATTTAGCAGAATTTAAAGAATTTTATCGAGAATTTGGCATCTGAGAATTTATTTTCAGCCCATAAACACTGAGCACAGACTGATTTATTCTCGTCTAGAGGTCGTTTATTTGAAGAGAACTTGTCCCGTAAAATTATTTTGTTGCATGGACACAACATTTCACTACTTCAAAGTCATTTTCTGACAGATTTAAGTGTTTATAGCTTAAATTTTGGCCATGTTTTTTCGCAGTGTGTCGGGCTGGTTTGTGTCGGTGTCGGTGTTGGTGTCAGTGTTGGAGTTTGTGTCGGTATCCATGTCGGTGTTTGTGTCGGTGTTCGTGTCAGTGTCAGTGTTCGTGTCGGTATTGGTGTCCGCGTTTGTGTCGTGTCGGTGTTCGTGTCGGTGTTCGTGTCGGTGTCCGTGTTCATGTCAGTGTTCATGTCAGTGTTCATGTCAGTGTTCATGTCAGTGTTCATGTCAGTGTTCATGTCAGTGTTCATGTCAGTGTCAGTGTCGGTGGACTCACTGCGGCGTGTGGCGTGTGAGCGTGTGCACCATGCTCCAGCTGATGTGGGTGCTGATGTCGGTGTTTGTGTCGGTGTTCCTGTCGGTGTCGGTGTCCATGTCAGTGTTCATGTCAGTGTTCATGTTGGTGTTCATGTCAGTGTTCATGTCGGTGTTCATGTCAGTGTTCATGTCGGTGTCCATGTCAGTGTTCATGTCAGTGTTCATGTCGGTGTTCATGGACTCACTGCGGCGTGTGAGCATGTGCACCGTGCTCCAGCTGATGTGGGTGCTGATGTCGGTGTTTGTGTCGGTGTTCATGTCAGTGTTTATGTTGATGTTGGTGTCCATGTTGGTGTTCATGTCGGTGTTCGTGTCGGTGTTCGTGTCGGTGTTCGTGTCGGTGTTCGTGTCGGTGTTCGTGTCGGTGTTCGGTGTTTGTGTCGGTGTTCCTGTCGGTGTCGGTGTTCATGTCGGTGTTCATGTCGGTGTTCATGTCGGTGTTCATGTCGGTGTTCATGTCGGTGTTCATGTCGGTGTTCATGTCGGTGTTCATGTCAGTGTTCATGGACTCACTGCGGCGTGTGGCGTGTGAGCATGTGCACCATGCTCCAGCTGATGTGGGTGCTGATGTCGGTGTTTGTGTCGGTGTTCCTGTCGGTGTCGGTGTTCATGTCGGTGTCCATGTCAGTGTTCATGTCAGTGTTCATGTTGGTGTTCATGTCAGTGTTCATGTCGGTGTTCATGTCAGTGTTCATGTCGGTGTCCATGTCAGTGTTTCATGTCAGTGTTCATGTCGGTGTTCATGGACTCACTGCGGCGTGTGAGCATGTGCACCGTGCTCCAGCTGATGTGGGTGCTGATGTCGGTGTTTGTGTCGGTGTTCATGTCAGTGTTTATGTTGATGTTGGTGTCCATGTCGGTGTTCATGTCGGTGTTCATGTCGGTGTTCATGTCGGTGTTCCAGTCGGTGTCGGTGTTTCGTGTCGGTGTGTCGTGTCGGTGTTCGGTGTGTCGGTGTTCCATGTCGTGTTCATGTCGGTGTTCATGTCGGTGTTCATTGTCGGTGTTTCATGTCGGTGTTCATGTCGGTGTTCATGTCGGTGTGTTCATGTCGGTGTTCATGTCGTGTGTTCATGTCAGTGTTCAATGGACTCACTGCGGCGTGTGGCGTGTGAGCATGTGCACCATGCTCCAGCTGATTGTGGGTGCTGATGTCGGTGTTTGTGTCGGTGTTCCCTGTCGGTGTCGGTGTTCATGTCGGTGTTTCATGTCGGTGTTCATGTCGGTGTTTCATGTCAGTGTTCATGTTCAGTGTTCATGTCAGTGTCATGTGTCATGTGTGTTCATGTCAGTGTTCATGTTGATGTTGGTGTCGGTGTTCATGTCGGTGTTCATGTGTCGGTGTTCATGTCGGTGTTCATGTCGGTGTTCATTGTTGATGTTGGTTCATGTCGGTGTTCATGTCGGTGTTCAGTGTCATGTCGGTGTTCATGTCGGTGTTCATTCATGTCGGTGTTCATGTCGGTGTTCATGTCGGTGTTCATGTCGGTGTTCATGTCGGTGTTCATGTCGGTGTTCATGTCGGTGTTCATGTTGATGTTGGTGTCGGTGTTCATGTCAGTGTTCATGTCGGTGTTCATGTCGGTGTTCATGTCGGTGTTCATGTCGGTGTTCATGTCGGTGTTCATGTCGGTGTTCATGTCGGTGTTCATGGACTCACTGCGGCGTGTGGCGTGTGAGCGTGTGCACCGTGCTCCAGCTGATGTGGGTGCTGATGTCGGTGTTTGTGTCGGTGTTCCTGTCGCTGTCGGTGTTCATGTCAGTGTTCATGTTGATGTCGGTGTTCATGTCGGTGTTCATGTCGGTGTTCATGTCGGTGTTCATGTCGGTGTTCATGTCGGTGTTCATGTCGGTGTTCATGTCGGTGTTCATGTCGGTGTTCATGTCGGTGTTCATGTGGTGTTCATGTCGGTGTCCATGTCGGTGTTCATGTCAGCGTTCATGTCAGCGTTCATGTCGTTCATGTCGGTGTTCATGTTCATGTCGGCGTTCATGTCAGCGTTCATGTTGATGTTGGTGTTCAGGTTGATGTTGGTGTCGGTGTTCAGTGTTCATGGTGTTCATGTCAGTGTTCATGTCGGTGTTCATGTCGGTGTTTCATATGTCGGTGTTCATGTTCATGTCGGTGTTCATGTCGGTGTTCATGTCAGTGTTCATGTCGGTGTTCATGGACTCACTGCGGCGTGTGGCGTGTGAGCGTGTGCACCGTGCTCCAGCTGATGTGAGTGTTGATGAGCACGAGGCGGCGCAGTCCGGAGAAGCAGGGGGCGAGGTCGGGCTCCAGGTGGGCGCCGCACAGAGGGTTCATGCTCAGGTTCAGGAAGTCCAGGTTGGGGATGTTGGAGACGATGGTGGACACCTGCACACAGAGCAGACGTGTGACGGGACGTGTGACGGGACGTGTGACGGGACGAGAGGAGGGGGAGACGTGTGCGAAGGTCACCACCCGACCCTCGTATACCAGTAGTAGTAGTACCCCCCAGGTAGTATAGTTACAGTAGTACAAGAGTAGTAGTATAACGTATAGTAGTAGTACAAGTATAGTACAGTATAGTAGTAGTACAAGTAATAGTAGTAGTAGTAGGTATAGTAGTAGTAGTAGTAGTAGTAGTAGTAGTACAAAGTATAGTAGTAGTAGTAGTACGTATAGTAGTAGTAGTGTACGTAGTAGGTAGTAGTAGTATAGTGCAAGTATAGTACAGTATAGTAGTAGTACAAGTATAGTACAGTATAGTAGTAGTACAGTAGTAGTAGTAGTACATAGTAGTACAGTAGTATAGTAAGTAGTATAGTACAGTATAGTAGTAGTACAAGTATAGTACAGTATAGTAGTAGTACAAGTATAGTACAGTATAGTAGTAGTACAAGTAGTAGTACAGTAGTAGTACAAGTAGTAGTAGTATAGTACAGTAGTAGTACAAGTATAGTACGGTATAGTAGTAGTACAGTAGTAGTAGTAGTACAAGTAGTAGTAGTACAGTAGTAGTACAAGTATAGTACGGTATAGTAGTAGTACAAGTATAGTACAGTATAGTAGTAGTACAAGTATAGTACAGTATAGTAGTAGTACAAGTATAGTACAGTACAGTAAGTAGAGTAGTACAAGTAGTGTAGTGTCGTGTCATGTGTTGTGGTTGTGTAGTTGTGTGTTGTGTGTCATGTGTTGTGTGTGTTGTGTGTGTGTGTGTGTGGTGTGTGTGTCATGTGTGTGTGTGTTGTTGTGTGTGTTGTGTGTTTGTGTTATGTGTGTGTGTGTGTGTGTGTGTGTGTTGTGTGTGTGTGTGTGTTGTGTTGTGTGTGTTGTGTGTGTGTGTGTGTGTGTGTGTGTGTGTGTTGTGTGTGTGTGTGTGTGTGTGTGTGTGTTGTGTGTGTTGTGTGTGTTGTGTGTGTGTGTGTCATGTGTTGTGTGTGTGTGTGTGTGTGTGTGTGTCATGTGTGTTGTGTTGTGTGTGTGTGTGTTGTGTCATGTGTTGTGTGTTGTGTTGTGTGTGTGTGTGTGTGTGTTGTGTGTGTGTGTGTGTGTGTGTGTGTGTGTGTGTGTTGTGTGTCATGTTGTGTTGTGTGTGTGTTGTGTTGTGTGTGTGTGTGTGTTGTGTCATGTGTGTGTGTGTGTGTGTGTTGTGTGTGTGTGTGTGTGTGTGTGTGTGTGTGTGTTGTGTGTGTGTGTGTTGTGTGTGTTGTGTGTGTGTGTGTGTTGTGTGTGTGTGTGTGTGTGTTGTGTTGTGTGTGTTGTGTGTGTGTGTGTGTGTGTGTGTTGTGTACCTCTGCCCAGTCTCGGAGCTGGTTGTAGGACAGGTCCAGTTCCACCACGTGGGCACAGAAGGTGGCGATGTCTGAGCCCGAACCCGCCTTACTCACACTGCAGTCGTTCAACACCAGGACGCTGGGCAGGAACAGGCGGTCTGAACGCACAACACACACACAACACACACACAACACAACACACACACACACAGACACACAACACACACACAACTACAGTCAACAAATGGTACTGACAAGAGGCACTGCTCTGTCTGCAGTTCTGTTACTGTTTTGTAACGGCACAAAAATCACGGTTCTGTTCGTCCCTCGGGTTTGAGGTCACGGTTTGGTTCATTTTCGGTTCAGTTTGGGAACAAAAAGCAAAACCATTTGTGTTTTTATGAAACCAACAATTAGTTTGAACATCATACACACTGCAAAATATAATAAATGCAAAGTGCTGCTTGGTAAAACTTCAATAAACTGTTCTCAAATAACCAACAAATGTTTGAAATATTGTAAAAATTTTATTCCTTGTAAACAGTAAACAAAACTTTTTAAAAAGTAAAGTGCAGCGTGAACAGTTCCACATGAACTTTTACTCAATCTTCAGATTTTTGGCCAGAAAACACGACGACCTGAACTGAAACTGTTCGGCACAAACACAAGAACCGTTTCACCACAGTCTGTTACACAACTTTAATCTGAGCTGAACACAAGTTTAAAGAGAGATGAGAGTGTGTGTGTGGCACAGGTGTGAGCGTGTGTGTGGCACAGGTGTGAGTGTGTGTGGTGGTGTGAGTGTGAAATTGTTGTGTTGGCACACATATAATCGTGTTGTTAGGTTATATCACAGGTCGTGATTGTTGTATGCACTAGGTGTGACGTCAAGTTGGGTGTGAGTGTGTGTGATGGTGGAGTGTGTGTTAATGTTTGATGGTGATGTGGTTGGGCACAGATTGTGATTCTGTGTGTGTAAGCGGGTGTTGTGTGGGTGTGGTGTGGGCACGGTTGTAGCGTGTGTGTGGCACTGGTGTGAGTGTGTGTGGTGTGGTGTGGGCACCTGGTGTGAGGTGTGTGGTGGCACAGGTGTGAGTGTGTGGCACAGGTGTGAGTGTGTGGCACAAGGTGTGAGCGTGTGGCAACAGGTGTTGAGCGTGTTGTGTGGCACAGGTGTGAGCGTGGTGTGTGGCACAGGTGTGAGTGTGTGGCACAAGGTGTTGAGCGTGTGTGTGGCAACAAGGTGTGGAGCGTGTGGGTGTGGCAGCAGGTGTGAGTGTGTGTGGCAGCAGGTGTGAGCGATCGTGGCACAGGTGTGAGCGTTGTGTGTGGCACAGGTGTTTGAGCGTGTGGTGTGGCACAGGTGTGAGTGTGGTGTGGCACAGGTGTGAGTGTGTGTGTGGCACAGGTGTGATGTGTGTGTTGGCACAGGTGTAGTGTGTGTGTGGCACAGGTGTGAGTGTGTGTGGCACAGGTGTGGTGTGTGTGTGGCACAGGTGTGAGTGTGTGTGTGGCACAGGTGTGAGTGTGTGTGTGGCACAGGTGTGAGTGTGTGTGGCACAGGTGTGAGGTGTGTGTGTTGTGGTGGAGTGTGAGAGTGTGTGTGTGGCACAGGTGTAGCGTGTGTGTGGCATGGTGTGAGTGGTGGTGTGGCACTGGTGTGAGTGCACAGGTGTGAGTGTGTGTGGCACAGGTGTGAGTGTGTGTGTGGCACAGGTGTGAGTGTGTGTGGCACAGGTGTGAGTGTGTGTGTGGGCACAGGTGTGAGTTGTGTGTGTGCAATGTGTGAGCGTGTGTGTGGCACTGGGTGTGGGGTGTGGTGTGGTGTGACATGTGTGGTGGCACTGGTGTGAGTGTGTGTGTGGCACAGGTGTGAGTGTGTGTGGCACAGGTGTGAGTGTGTGGCACAGGTTGAGCGTGTGTGGCACTGGTGTGAGCGTGTGTGTGGCACAGGTGTGAGTGTGTGTGGCACAGGTGTGAGTGTGTGGCACAGGTGTGAGCGTGTGGCACAGGTGTGGGTCGGACCTTTGACAGGTGAGCCGGGCGGGGTGGGCAGCAGGACGATGCCCAGGCCCTGCCCTCTGGAGTACGGGAAGTTGTCGGGGTTGTACTTGTGGCTCACGACCTGAACGAACGTGTGAACCTCCTCCTCATCCGACGAAGACTCCATTTTACCGTCCGAGAGCCTGAAGGAGAGCAGAAGGACAAGAGTCCTGGTTTAGTCCTGGGTCCTGTTTAGTCCTGGTTTAGTCCTGGTTTAGTCCTGGTTTAGTCCTGGTTTAAGTCCTGGTTTAGACCTGGTTTAGTCCTGGTTTAGTCCTGGTTTAGTCCTGGTTTAGTCCTGGTTTAGTCTGGTTTCCTGGTTTAGTTTGTCTGGTTTAGTCCTGGTTTAGTCCTGGTTTAGTCCTGGTTTAGTTTAGTCCCTGGTTTAGAGTCCTGGTTAGTCCTGGTTTAGTCCTGGTTTAGGTTTAGAGTCCTGTTTAGTTTACCTGGTTTAGTCCTGGTTTAGTTAGTCCTGGTTTAGTCCTGGTTTTAGTCCTGGTTTAGTCCTGTTTAGTCCTGGTTAGTCCTGGTTTAGTCCTGGTTTAGTTGTTCCCTGTTTAGCCTGGTTTAGACCTGGTTTAGTCCTGGTTCAGTCCTGGTTCCCTGGAGTCCTGGTTTTAGCCTGGTTTTAGTCCTGGTTTAGTCCTGGTTTAGTCCTGGTTTAGTCCTGGTTTAGTCCTGGTTTAGTCCTGGTTTAGTCCTGGTTTAGTCCTTGGTTTAGTCCTGGTTTAGACCTGGTTTAGCCTGGTTTAGTCCTGTTTAGTCCAGTTAGTCCTGGTTTAGTCCTGGTTTAGACCCTGGTTTAGTCCTGGTTTAGACCTGGTTTAGTCCTGTTTTAGTTTAGTCCTGTTAGTCCTGGTTTAGACCTGGTTTAGTCCTGTTTAGTCCTGGTTTAGTCCTGTTTAGTCCTTGACCTGTTTAGTCCTGGTTTAGTCCTGGTTTAGTCCTGGTTTAGTCCTGTTTTAGACCTGGTTTAGTCCTGGTTAGTCCTGGTTTAGAGTCCTGGTTTAGTCCTGGTTTAGTCCTGGTTTAGTTCCTGGTTTAGTCTGGACCTGGTTTAGACCTGGTTTAGTCCTGTTTGGTTTTAGTCCTGGTTTAGACCTGGTTTAGTCCTGGTTTAGTTCCTGGTTCAGTCCTGGTTTAAGTCCTGGTTTAGTCCTGGTTTAGTCCTGGTTTAGTCCTAGTTGGTTAGTCCTGGTTAGACCTGGTTTAGACCTGGTTTAGTCCCTGGTTTAGTCCTGGTTTAGTCCTGGTTTCCTGGTTTATCTGTTTAGTCCTGTTTAGTCCTGGTTTAGACTGGTTTAGTCCTGGTTTAGTCCTGGTTTAGTCCTGGTTTAGTCCTGGTTTAGACCTGGTTTAGTCCTGTTTAGTCCTGGTTTAGTTTAGACCTGGTTTAGTCTGGTTTAGTCCTGGTTTAGTCCTGGTTTAGTCCTGGTTTAGTCCTGGTTTAGTCCTGGTTTAGTCCTGGTTTAGACCTGGTTTAGTCCTGGTTTAGTCCTGGTTTAGTCCTAGTCCTGGTTTAGTCCTGGTTTAGTCCCTGGTTTAGACCTGGTTTACCTGGTCCTGGTTAGTCCTGGTTTAG